CGGTCCAGCCCGCATGAAACAATTTTCGATAGAATAATCTTATTGCAAGTGTGGTCTGTATGGGGTGCAAACGTTGAACACTTAAGTGAAACGCACCTCCAAATCATGTTGAAAGATGTAATTTTGTTGCCGGAAACCCTGTGGTAGCTAAAAAATCTAATTTCAAACCATTTTATGAAATTTAAAGCTCCAAAACTAGTGTGGATTGAGCAAATCTATAAACAGTGGTAAATATTGAAAATGAATTGTCCACATATTGCATTATAAGGTGCAGTATTCTAAAATTTGAAATCATTTTTTTCATATTCATATATCTTGAATTTGAGATGATCGATTGGAAAGTTTTCCAACATCCAAACAGCTTTTTGACATGTTATAAAGCTGCGCCTTACTTCTATATACCTTGTAATTTACCCCAAAAACAGGTCGACACCTTGTATAAATGTTTTCTATTACACTAATCAACTACATTTCCATACACTAATCAACTACATTTCCTTACACTAATCAACTACATTTTTGGATAAATGTATAAATTATCCAAAAATATGTCACAAGTTCTTAAGCTTATATATAGGCAAATTTGATTATACATAATCAGATCTTAAGTATTAAACTGAGTATCCTTACTTTTATATTTTTAAATTATTTAATTGCTTAATTTCTAGCTATGAGAAAGTGTCCCTTAACTCTCAAGAGGCAACTTAAATCACCATACACGATCTATTGTAAGCTAAACATATAGCCATAATCTATGCGAAAACAATAATGATATGTGAAAATTTATATTTTATTGATCATGTATCATGTCATTTAATTCTACATCGTCGTATAACACGTGCAACACATGTGCTTTTGTTGATTAACTTGAATGAAATTAAATCAAATTTTGGCATGGAGAGCCAAGAACTTGGTCCTCCTCCAAGCCAAGCCAAGCCAAAATTTCATTCAATTTCATCCAAGTTATCCACCAAAATATGGACCTCATCCTTTAACAAAGTCTCCCATTTTACTTTTTTTTTTTACTATACATACATATATATTATTTTATTTTATTTTATTTTTTATTTTTTTCTTTTTTTTGTACTGAAAGTATTGGATGTCTCCTGACAAGCCGAATTTATTTTTTAGTTTCGTTTAGATATATGATAATCAAATAAGCAAGATGCATACGGCGTAGATAAGCATGGCTCATGTGGACTATCATTGTTATGATGAGAAAGAGGTCCATGAGTCCACAATTTTAAGAGAGGGCCATAATTATTCATGTGGCCGTCCAAATTATTGGCGCATGTGCATTTCAAAAAATCGGTACTGCGCTCCGGTTCACGAATGGATTGTGCCCTTGCCAAACTCAGTTTGATCGAGTTTGATATTAACTAGGCTATTATCACCCGAGCTTTATTTCATTTAGAGTTTGATATTAACTAGGCTGTTATCATCCGAGCTTTATCTCAACTAAATGAAATAGATTATATTTACCAAAAATTATTTGAAAAAACAAAAGACATGTGGTTCAGGGTTTTCCAGGCCCATTGCTAGCCTCGTGGACAAGCCATTTTTAAATGCGAAAAGTTTATATACCGCCTAAGCTCTAAACAATTAAATTAGAACCTACCTCAAAAATTTTACTGGAAGAGGTTGTTTTGATGTCCAAATATCCTCAAATTGATTATCTCGACATCACGATGCATGTACTTGAGACAAAAATAGATTTCAAATTTTGAAAATAGTACGTAATGCATTTTTGAGCCGTCAAATTTTAAGTTATTCAAGTTTCATAAATTTAATCGATCTACACTATTTTTTAAGCTTTAAATTTTATAATTAAATATAAAAATATATTTTAAGACTGGTCAAAGATTATTAGTACTGAAACTACATTTCTCGATACTATTTGAAGGTGGGCTCCAATTTGATTGTTTAGAGCCTCGGCTCTATATAAACCACACCCTTTTTAAATCCTCCACCTAATTACCTCCATTGGTCAAAGAAAAGCCAAAAGCTTTTATAGTCTTGTGGTATTCATGCACTCCATCAGGTAAAATTCAATGTAGGAGAAATTCTCGGTTCTCAAAATTTCACGATGTAACCTCTTCAACCCATACACTAACCTCTAAAAGGAGAAATTCCAAACTATCTATGCACTTAAACAAAATTTAACATCTCAATATTGAACATAGACTCTCCAATTTTTTGAAAGTGAGATCTAAATACTAAAAAAACTTCAAATTCAAATTTCATGTTTTGAAAATAATTATTTATTTTCTATTCGCTCCTAAAATTGTAGATCCAAAAAAACTTTCCAAGTAGGTTTTTCCTCGAGGGACATGATTGCTCTCGCGGGAGTATAATATATATGCTCAAGAAAAATTGCATCACCATCCAATAATTAGGTGCAAGAGAATTAGGAAATGTGATAGGATCCTAGGTCCTACATTACCACCTATCCAACGATTCGCCATTGATGGATACTTCCGGAAAAAGTATACAAAAGAGACCATTTAGTTTTGGTACGGTCACAAGCATTCTGTCCTTCAAATTTCAAATCAAATGGTTGTAAGTGTACTTGTGACTAAACTCAAAGCCCAACAAATTCTTTCTTGAACTTCATGGCATAACCCAAGCTGTTCAATTGAACATCTAATGGTTAGGACTAATTGTGACCTCCTTGTACTAAAGATAAATGGTCTCATTGTAAGGACTTATGATAAAGCACGGTGTATATATTTAAAAAAAAATTATTTACCCCTACACCGGGAAGATCACTTACAATGTCCCAATATAATCAAATCACTTTTGAAATAAATAAAATAAAAATATAATCGATTCTCAATTGCTGCCTCTTCAAATACAATTCTTTATTCAAGAAACAAAAGTAGACTTTAATGTTTTATGGGAAGAGAAGTAAATATTTTAAAAGGTAAAATTGCCGGAGATTACCTCAACCGGAATTAATACGCCCCACGCTGAGTCTCCTCATTTCGATGGTGCTCGAGATCTATGATCGGTATGTTGATTTCCCTACTATGGCAAATATTTGACTTAATCTTCATCAAGTCTCTTAACTTGATTTTAGAGAGATGAGAGATGAATATGAAAAGAGAGATGTACTCGAAAGGGGTTCCACCCCTTTGCCACCTATAAAAAACAAAGAACCCCTTTGCCACCCATAAATAATAGAGGTGATGTGTGCCATCAAAACATGGTGCAATTTGGAGAAAGAGATATAAAATTGGGAGGTGCCTCCCTATGGTAATCCAAAGCCCTTTTTGGGGTAGGGAGATAAAATTCTTAAAGAGAGAAAAGAGAATATGTATCTCATTTTATGAGGGGAGACCTCATTTTATAGATTTTTTATGTTATAGATTTTCTATGTCATAGATTTTATCTCAATTCATAGGGTCAAATCTCAACCGTCGATCTAAGGAGACTTGTGGAGGTGAAAGATTTGAATAATCTATCTTTTTGATCTACCATCAAGATTCAAAGATATGAGCTAGAGTCTTATCCCCCATTTCGTAAATCTATTCCCATCAAATAAAGAAAACTTATATTTTAATATATTGAATCCTTAATTATTAGATCAACCAAACTTGATTCACAGATTTAGTAAATATCTCAAATATTCAATCTTATCACATAAATTGTCTATACATAAAAGGATAAGCCAACGAAGAGGATACACATTATTCTCAATGTTACGTGAATGGGTGGGGGCGTGCCACCCTTTTAGTGCCCACATGACCCCATTATTCTCAATGTTCCGTGAATGGGTGGGGGCGTACCACCCTTTGAATGGCCACATGGCCCCACCTAATCCACATCTTTTTAAATTTTTGGCTCTATATTTTATGGAGGTCCCAAGTATTTTTTAAAAACTATTTTATTTTATATTTATAATTTTTAAATCTTATATTTTATTTAAAACATTGAAAAATTAATTTATCTTAATTTATAAATTCAAATGGTAAAAATAAAATATCAATTCACAAAAATTCAAATAAACATTCTAAAAATCACATACCATAAAATTAATTAAAATTAATTAATTTTGATAGGAATCAGATCCATTAGATTTAGGAAATTATCAATACATTGGAGCATTCCACCTTCAACTGCGAATGATGATCTGCCTAGCTTTATCAAACTGACCCAGCAGTTCCTATGACCCACAGTCCACTGTAGGGGTACATGATCGGACCACCAAAGTCAGTCAATAGACTAGGAAACGCAAACTGTGAGGTTCATGATCGGACCACCAAAGTCAGTCAATAGACTAGGGAACGCAAACTGTGAGGTTCATAATCGGACCACCAAAGTTAGTCAATAGACTAGGGAACCCAATATCAGTTTATGGATTTCATATTCTCCCTTAGAGACAAAAATCATGGTCTTCTAGACCATGATACAACCATGACTCTACAGTGCATAGAGGTAATCTCTCGTATATGTACACGCTTCACCCTCATTGGTGAATCTCATAACGGCTATCTATGTACATGTTGTGTGATGATATAACGGTGAGGTTTTAGCCCGCCTCTAAAAGCTATCCATCACACACAAGGGCCACACAGTCCATTGGCTCTCATCTGAGCATACTCCGACCTCATCAAGGGATAACTCACTAAACCCTTCTCGGTAGATCCATACGTCTGGGTATCTTGGTTTTTTCCAAACTTCGATTGGCCTAGCTCGTCGAGCCTAGTCTGAGTAATAGAAAATAACATTTGCCCAATATGGTCCACAAAAAGACCACACTCCTACTGAGTTTATGTTCCACTCTATAAAATGCTCATACAAACTCTCATAAGGCTTTTAATGGCCACATAAACCCAACACTCATAGTATTCAATCTCATATTTGTTGTAAGACTTTCATCTTTGATGGATTTTATTTTATCATTTTCTCCTTTTAAATAATTTATTGAGATGTTAAAAAATTAGCAGACACCAAATAATTGAGATAATGCCTGAATGATAATAATGATGACGAGATGCTAAAAAACCAAAAAGTTGTGTTTCAATCTCATCTCGTTAAATAAATATTGGCGTTCAAACAAACACAAACAAGAAGGATAGACATTTTAAGTTCAATCCAACTTACAATAAGCCAGTCTAATAAAATAAATATAAGCGAGCAAATTTCCTCACTAGGAGGACCCTCCATTCGCTTCGCAACAGCAAGATTTCACTAGATCAACGCTGTAAAAAAAAAAAAGTAAATAAATTGTCACTTATAAACATAAAAAAATGAGAAATGGAAAATACAATAGTATTAATAAAGCTGAAGAAAAAAATAAATAAATCTAAATTAAAATTTGGATTATTATGATATATTGTCTATGATACAGCGATGATTAAGAAGGTGAATGGTCGAAAATGTGATTATGGTGAAATAATGGTGATGACAATGATAATGGTGATGGATATGTTGATGACCTAAAATAAGTACAATAAAAAAGGACACTTAGAAGGGATTGTCTAAAAGACTATTTATTTTTATTACAAGGAGGTCACAACTATTCTCACTCATTAAATGTCAAATTGAATGGCTTGGGGTAAGCCACGAAGTGCGAGAATTTTTTATTTTTATTTTTTTTGGAACTTTGTGTCTATTCAATGACATTCTTACAACGACCCATTTTGAAATTTAAAGGACGAAAATGATTGTGACCTTCTTGTACAAAACGTAAAAGGTGTGATTTGTATAAAGCATAGGATCTAAACAATCAAATTAGAGCCTACCTCTAAATAGTATTGAGAAATGTGGTTCCAATATTAGAAATCTTTATGATAGTCCTAAAATATATTTTCCTCTTTATTTATAAAGTTTAAAGCTTCAAAAATAATATAAATCGACAGATCTATGAAAACTTGAATACACTATTTTCAAAACTTAAAATCCATTTTTTTCTCATATCCATGTACCTTGATGTCAAGATGATCAATTTGAAGAAATTTGGGTATCAACTCAACATCTTCTAGTGAAATTTTGAGGTAGGCTCTAATTTGATTGTTTAGATCCTCGGCATGGCCTCTTTGTAGACCATCCCCACTTAAAAGGGTTACAACCATCTTTTATATATATATATATATATATATTATGTGTTCTTATCTAACATTTAGAAAATCGACTAAGCCATAGCCAAGGCCCCAGTCGAGCTAATGTTGTATTTGTTACGCAGCTTGAGATAAAGTTATATCTTTGCAAGAGGTGTAGGATTTGATTCTTGGGGCTATACCTTTTATTTAGAACTCCATCTTATATATAAAAATAAATAAAAAAAGGTTCATTAAAATGTAGAATTAAGGTGCACCTCAAAAATCCATTATCAAAGGTTGTTTTGATGTTGGTATACCCTCAAACTGATAATCTCGGCATTAAAATGTATGATAAAAAAAAGATTTCCAGTCCTAAAATAGTGTATCGCGCAACAAATTATCTGGACCGTCAATTTTCAATATTTTCAAGTGTTTATAAATCTACTTGATTTGAACCATTTTTGGAGTTTAAGATTTTATAATTAGATATGGAAATAGATTCTCAAGCCATCTTAAAAAAAAATTACACCAAAATTATATTTATGATAAAGTTTAGAGATGCGTCTTAATTTGATTGTTTAAGGTTGCAACCTTATATGCTAAAACATATGTGACAAAACTAACCGTAGAGTCATCTAAACATATATGATTTAAATTCACTGTATTAATATAAATAGAGTTTATAAACATGTTGTACAACCTACTTACCCAAAACTCGACCCGCTCATAGGGCTTGGCCGAGTTACTCAACCAAATCCGAGTGGCCTCGGCCGATTCTCATAACACTGATCTAATCAATTGAGTTTCAATAAGAAAGGCTACTTATTCTAGTCTATTAAGTTTTTCTATTGAACTTTTAATATAAATAATTAACATTCTATTAAAACAACTGCCTAACCTTTATTGCCACATTAATCAACAGAGGCTTTACTATTTATACGTTGGCCACCAATTCTTTTAGTGGAACACTATGGAACCAAGGTTAATGAGAGAACAAGAAACGGCGGTTGACTGTGGTTGGCCCAGAGAGAGAGAGACATATTTATTTTTGGCGAGAGAGATTTTTATTTTGGAGAGAGGGTTTTATTTTGGGGGGAGTGGGGTGCTTTTTTTTCACAGTCCTCCTCAAACTTAAGATGATATGGGAGAGAGCAATTGGAGTTTAAACACTAAGTTGTAGAAAACAAGTAGTTAGATATTTAGGTGCATATTTGGATTGCTTTATCAATAAAGCTTGCATATTTGGATTGCTTTATCCATAAGCACAGAGGAACAACATAATAGGGCAAGCTCAAACAACAACAGATCAATAAGCTTCAGAAGCAAAAGGCTCGAATAGAACATGCTTTAACAACAAACAAAAACTTTAGATCTTCTCCAAAAAAAAGCATTTTAATCAACTGAAATAACAAAATAGTACTCGAAGGAGCCAACATAATTTGGTACAAATCCGAGACCGATTAAGCAACTCGCGGATAGACAGACAGGATCGAGTAAAAAGACAACAGACTTGATCATACATAAAAGAACAAGATCAAGTGATGTATTCGATCATATAGGAATGGACACAATAAATATGAATATGGCTCTGGTACTATGTGAAGAGTCTCAAGCTTTCTCTGAAAAGACTTAGTAATTATTAAATCAATATGTATATACATGATTGTCATGTATAAACAAATACAAATGACAAGAATAGAAATATATCACAAACGCCTATACTATATCCATACTAATAATAAATTACAAGATATTTTACTTATCAGTGTACACCAGTGTTCGCAAAACCAGACGATCTAACTGCTAACTGCCTGGTTAGATCAGAACCGGTCACTATCCGGTTCTGGTTTTGGGCGGTTTTAGTAATCAACCGGTATTTTAAACTTGGGAAAAATATCTCGATATCTCCTATTTTTAGGTTTCATTTTACAATAGACCCAAAGTTTTAAAAGATATCTTAGAGCGTAAAAATTATAGATTTTATTTCTTCTAACCTCTTGAGCTACTATAAACCTATTTTTTATAGGTCAAACAAATCTAAAAAGACATGGCTTTTTTAAAAGCCATCCTCCCAAAGTTCCATCTTTCTCTCTCTCGACACCCTTTCTATTTATCATCATTAACCCTTCACTCTCTCCTCCCGCTCTCTCTCTCCATGTTTCCCATCTCTCTCCCCTCACTCTTTCTCCTCCCAAACACACAATAAGTATACATAAAGGAGGATATGTGTTTACATAAACATAGGAAGAGAGAGAAGTATTTGGTGGTAAGAGGTTACTGGGAGGAGAGAGAGGTGTTTGGATAAATACAGGAAGAGGGAGAGAGGTGTTTGGATAAACACAAGGAGGGAGAGAAATGTGTTTGGATAAACATAAGAGGAGAGATATGATTGGTGGTAAGAGGTTATTGAGAGGAGAGAGAGGTTTTTGGATAAACACAAGAAGAGAGAGAAGTGTTTGAATAAACACAGGATAAGAGAGAGTGAAACACGCAACAAGAGAGAGAAAGAGAGAAGTTTGGGGTATATAAATGAAGAGAGAGAATGGATTGGGTTTAAAAAGATCATGTCTTTCTCACATTTGTTTAGATTAAAAAATAGGTTTAAAGTGGCCAGGGGCTTGGAGGATATTTTTTGAAACCTTGGGTTTATTAAGAAATAAAATCTAAAAATAAATGATATAGAGATATTTTTCCTTTAAACTTTAAATAGAATACTACCTCAAATCCATGTCAGATATATTAGTATGGTTTATTGGTTAGTTTTTATGTTTAAATTTATCTCAATCTCAGTTCGAATCCCTATTAGTATGGTTTATTGGTTAGTTATTTTATCTCAATCATGGTTCGAAGCCCTGTTTTTTTTAAAAAAAAACTTCATTTTGTTGGAGTTCAAAGTTTTGATGTTTAAATTTTATCTCAATCACAATTCGAATCCCTGTTTTTTTTTAAGACTTCATTTCGTTGAAGTTCAAAAAGACTTCCCACCAGGATCGAACTAAAAAACCTCTAATAAAGAAGTCCTTTAACATTTTAAGAATTCATTTCGTTGGAGTTCAAAAAGACTTCCCACCAGAATCAAACTAGAAATCTATAATAAAGAAGTCATTTAACATTAGGCGCACAAACCAATAGATCATTTACTAGTTGGTTGATAAAAAAAGGGCATATATTATATATAACTTAATTTTTTTCTGCATTTTTTTTAAAAAAAAAATGAGTTGGACTCAGGCGAGTTACTCAAACTCACCTGAATAACTCGCTTCGGCCAGGTCCCGATTACCTTAGCCGAGTCGATTTTTTTAATATTGTTTTAATATTATTTACATTATGGTAAAGATTAAAAGTTGTTTTGGTCATAAATACTCACTATTATATTTTTCCATCTTGTTCAGAAAATTTTAAAAGTACCCGTAGGCACAAATCGATTCATTAAAATCCTTTTTCTTTTTTTTATTAATTTTCAACTTCATTTGAGTGTGTTTTGTTTTAATCATTATTTATATGTTTTTCGTATTTTAGTAGTTTTTTTTTTTTGTATCACTTTTCTTTTTTTCAACACTTTTTTAACTGTTTGGGACACCTGGTTAGAGCGATTGAATCGGCCAGTTTACCTGTTTGGCCAGTTAAACCACTTCCGAGCCCATATTCAGCTAACCGTTCTTGTTCAATTTTGCGAACACCGATGATATATACTTTCCTTTCATACTTTGTGTGTGGGCGATCCATTGGTTTGAGGTTGAGAGGGTTTAATGTTGGATTAATTTTGTTGGGTTTAAATATTGGATGATAGATTACAAAAGAGCCCAGGTTTACTTGAAATATTTATTGTCCATCTTTTGAATTTCTTGATATATGAAATTAAAGTTTGTGGGGATCTCCAATTAGGAGGGGTGCATATGCTACTTATAAGAAGTTTTAAGGGTATGTTGATCAATAAGATGGCTAGGGCTGTAAAAATAATCGTTCAAGAAAAGGTAAAATTCCAGGATTTTTTCCTGAAAAACACCAAATATAGAAGACAAAAAGGCGGACGAAATTTCCTCCTCGTGTAGGATCTTAATCCCTATTTTCCAACTTTGGGGTTCACAATTAGTAAAAAGATTTTCATTTCAAAGTTCAATGCACTATTTTTATTTTTATTTTTTTCGAATCAAATACCCAATGCACTTTTGATACAATTGCCATTTAACCTCATTGACTAATGAGAACCAAAAAAATAAAATAAAAATAAAAAGCAAAAGCATTGGGTAATATATTTGTAAGAGAGAGAAATCCAATCCTTACCAGGAACAGAAAACCGTCAAACAACGACAAATCGCACCCTTCTGTTTTGTTTCTATGGGAACTTGTGGGTGGTGAGAGGGACCATCTTTGACAGGATATCCAGGTGGAGGGGGTGGGTAGGTTTGCACTGGAGGAGGGGGATAAACTGCAAACCATAATAAATATCAATAATTCATCTCTAGTTTTTAGAGGACATTCATCAAAATATTTTCGTCATCATAGTTTGTTTCCAACTATTTATGATCGGCTAATACTCATCCCAATATATCAATATGTATTATATTTAATTATTTATACACCCCTAGTAAGAGAAAGAAAGCTCAAATTTCAAAACGAAATAAAAAATTCAAGGCAACCCCTTAGACAATTAAACACGAAAAAATATAAATAAAACAGTTAAATTTGCCCAAAATAGTAGTGGATATCATCCCAAAAAGCCAAGTTCAATTCAAAAACTGAGATCCCCCTATACGAAAAATTAAACACCAAATGTGTAAAGAAACAAGCAAATACAATCACAGAAAAAGTTTATATAAGGTTGTAACCTTAAAATGTAGAATTACATATGCACCTCAAAAATCCATCGAAAATTATTGTTTTACTGTTGAAAAACTCTCAAATTGATCAACTCGACATCGAGATGTATAAATATGAAAAAAAAAATAGAAAAAAATATTTTGATTCCCAAAAATAGTGCATCTTGCAACATATTATCTAGACCGTCCATTTTCAAGATTTTCATATATTTATAAATCTACTTGATTTTAACCATTTTTAGGGTTTTAAATTTTATAATTAGATATAAAAATAGATTTTCAGATAATCCTAACAATGTTTTACACCAAAATTACATGTTATGATCAAATCTGGAGGTGCACCTTAATTGGACTGTTTAAGGTTACAACCTTGTAGAAACCACACTCATAAATCAATGCCCACAAGGGCCAAATACAAACCCAAAAAGTAAGACAAAAAGAGGATAGAGAGAGAACTAACCCAAAAGACCCAATAAAAATTAGAAAAAAATATCTTTGTACACTCTATTTTGATGTTCCATTTCCCAATAGACCTAGGATTTGAAAACGTTTTTTACGATATAAAAATCACACATAATATATCTTCTAATCCCCTAGACCAATTTTATCCCTTTTGACTGTCCATTTTTAGCCCAAACAAAAGTAAGAAAGACACTCGTGTCTATTTTTTTCTAATCCCCCTTTCTCTCCCTGAATTTTTCCCCCAAACCTCTCTGTCTTTCTCTCGCCCCTCTCTCTCTCTCTAACGAGTCTCTCTCTCTTCCCCTATGTTTCCCCTCAAAACCTCTCTCGCCCCTCTTTCTCTCTAACGAGTCTCTCTCTCTTTCCCTATGGTTCTCCTCAAAACCTCTCTCGTCCCTCTCTCTCTCTAACATGTCTCTCTCTTCCCCTATGTTTCTCCTCAAAACCTCTCTCTCCCTTCTCTCTCTAAGGAGTTTTTCTCTCTCCCTCTATTTCTCTCCCAAATATGTCTTTCTTTTTCTCGTCCATCTCTCTTTCATCCTTTTCTAGAGATAGATAACTTGTTATAAAGAGAGAGGGGTTTAAAAAAGAACAGACATGGGCATCCTTTTTAGTTTTGTTTAGGTTAAAACAAGTCCAATCAAAAGAAGTAAAGTTTGTTCAGGGTTAGAAGATATATTACGTGGGATCTCTATGTCATAAAAAATATTTTGAAATCATGAGACTGTTGATATATAAAAGCTCAAAATAAAGTGTACGAAGATATTTTTCCTAAAAATTATACAAAAAATAGATAATCAATAAAGAGATAGGAAGAGAATAAGAGGTGAGGGGATTACGTTGGGGAGGAGCTTGGTGTTGATCGTACTGATTCATCTTGAGAGATATGGAAGGGAAAGAGCAAAGTTTGTGTTGGTTGCGTTGGATGAAAAAATAACCAATGGAAAATATCGTGCCCGGAGAAAGAGAGAGGTGATGGGGGAGAAAACAAATGGACAATAAGAGATAGAGAGAGGTGATAAGAGCTTGTGGGTTTGGTGGCTAAAGGGGGGAAGGGGGTATTTATTGAGTAGGGTGAGGGTAGGGCTGAGAATTTATTCAGTTTGGATTTGAATCTTGAATTTTGGATTTTATTTGGTTATAGTATAGATCGAAAATTTGAATCCAAAAATTTTTCCAACAACAATAGGACGGTGCAAAAGTTCATTTACTTATTTGTTGATAACCTTATTTTAGAACTGTGGAATTGATTCGGATCCGGATCTTATGCACAGTTTTTAGATCTGGATCTAGATCTAGACTTGAATCTCATGTATACTTTTCAAATCTAGTTCTGGATCTGATCCGAACAATTCTCAACCCATGAAAGAAACTTCCTTACATTTACGTGTGTGGTTTTCATGAATGCCATCGTCTCCATCCAAAGCACTAGAAAAGGATAAGTGTTTTGGGTTAGCGGTCATGCGTTGTCCTTATCTTAAAGAAAATATGGTGGAAAAATTTTAGAAATTGTTGTTCTTTTAATTTCTACATAAGCTTTAGATTTTTTGATTTAGAATGCATTTGTCCAAAAAAAAATGTATATTGTCTTTTTTCTTTTTTTTTAAGAAAGTACGAGCTTCATTAAAATAATTAATTGAAAGTATATAGTAGGAGAATAAAAACCTAAACAGAAAGCACTGAAAAAGAAGGGGGGAAAGAGGGGAAGGGCAAAGAGAAGATAAAACAAGACAGAGAGGTGGTTCTATAACTTATAACGTGGCCGTGATAGTAAAAAGATTTGCCTCATAATTCAATCCCCAAACCACATGGAAGAAGACTTGAAAATCCCCAAAAAGCATCAAGATTACATCCATAAGACTGCTAAGCCGCTACGGGCTGGTGTCCGGTTCCAAGCACCAACTAATCACATTGCAGAGTCACCTCAATGACCACTTTAGATAGAGAAAAGTCAGCAGCAGTCACTTACAAAGAGTTAATGTTTTTTTGCAAAGTCACTTTAAATTATCCAATGGATCACAAAAAATTAAAATGGAATAAATAAATTTCATGATTATATTTCAAAGGTGATATTATAACTACAAATATTTAAAGTTAAACATTTTACTTAAAATAATAATTTTGGCCACTCTTTTTTTTTTTTTTTTTTCTAAAAAAAAAAAAAAATTGGAACTTACGTGGCAAAATTAGTAATTTAACCAATAGGTAATTGAAATTTTAAATGACCACGGATATTGAATTTAGGACGCGGTTAGCATACGGCCAGCCTGCATATTGTAGAAATGCTGGCTTGGCAATAAATATATTTTTTAAATATAATTTGATCATAATTTTCAAAGTGTATATAATCTATAATATGGAAATCATGATTATGAAAAATAAATAAATTTTAAAAACTAGAAATAATACCAATTAGTTATAATTGTTTTTAGATTGACCACCTATTTGCATCCATCTTTAAGATGGATGCTTTAGACCTGTGGACCTTATATTGTAGAAGTACGATCCAGCCCACATGAAACAATTGTTCTTGAGTTTATGATAAGAAATAGTTTTAGTAATAGTTTATAATTGATCTTTATAAGAATTAATGAAACAACATTTTATATTTTTATATGAATTAATGAAACAACATTTTATATTTTTATATGAATTAATGAAACAACATTTTATATTTTATATGAATTAATGAAACAACATTTTATATTTTTAGATGAATTAATGAAACAAAATTTATATTTTTATAAATAAACTATTACTAAAAAATAGTTTTAGTAATAGTTTATACTTGATCTTTATATGAATTAATGAAATAACATTTTATATTTTTTAAAAATAATGTTAAGAAATGAGATACCCTTTTAAAAAATATGAAAATGATAATAACTCGAATGTGTTTGGACGCAAAGTTTTGGTCCTTTTATGCGAAAGACCATAAGTGACTTCATTGTTTATGTTACCTCTCAAACCTAAGAAGGATAAACGAGAGGTAAGGAAGGGAAAATTTATGTATGCTTTTGTGTATATTATGCTTCAACTCTTGGGCATATGTGCATATTCAATTATTTATTGGAAAAGAGTAAGAACTTAAAATTTTATATCTAATTTAATAAAAAAAACATTTTATTTATATATTAAAAATAGTTATATTCTTATTTTTATTAATAAATATATAGACTTGCAAGACCACTAAATAATAAAATTCATTACATCGAAACAAAGTATATCACCCACACACTCTACTTCAAACCTAAAATATATCTAAGCAGACATAGTACCGATATAATTTACTCCTGTAGGATCATGTGTTGCATCTTTGATATTTCGACGGTTTTATGCCCAGTGACATTTATTAGTACCGTATCAACTCCCACGTGCTTTATAATTGACTTTTTCAAAAATAAAATTATGAGATTTATTTTTAATACGGGGTTATATTAGGGTGCTTATATTATATGGAGTAATTTATAACTGTATTAAAAATTTTTTGGACATTTTTATATTCTTGTTTTATACATAAATCTTTTTTTAATGAATGGCATCACCCACATGTACCACACTAGTAACATTTAATTTTCTATATGGGTAATGTCATACTCTTCTTAATTATAAAAAATACACATATTAAAAAAAAGCTTCATATATAAAACAAGGGTGTATATGTACAAGGGTATATATGTATCCAAATTTCGTTGAGTATACTGATAAATTACTCCTTATGTGAGTACCTTAGCATAACCCTTACTTATAACCATCTAACATGAAATACGATAGCTTGGATGTGTTATAAAGTTCGAGAAAATTCTTTTTGAACTTTAGGCATAGTCAATGAAATAATTACAATTACCAAATTTCACATCTAATGGTCAAGATTAATGGTGACCACTTTGTACCAAAGGTAAATGGTCTCATTATATACTGTCCTTTATTTTATTCACTAAAAAAAACAATCATTATCTTAAAATCCTCTATCAATTTTTCAAAAAAGATATCCCTAATTTCATAACTTTCTAAAAAGCAACACACATAAGATAGTTTGAATTGTATAGAGTAAAAACATGCTCAATGTAGGTAAATTTTACATTCATTTTATTTATCAATATTTATTTTAAAGGGTAAAAATTTATATAAAAGATTATTTCTTGAAAACTTTAAGTCATAATAAGAATAATTTTGTTCTATGAGTATAATTTTGAGAACTCATTTTTTAAATTTTGATTCACAAATCTAAATGATTTAAATTTATATTATACAATAAAATTTATATTTGATAAATATTATTAATAAATAAATATAAATTGAAATCGATAAATAGTTGTAATCACAAATAGAGTCAATATAGTCAAACATGTTTCTAATTACCTATCTAGCACAATAGGCGATCAAATTAGTTTTTTAGCCTGAAATCAGTATTATCTGAATTGGACGAAAGATGCTAATAATTAGCAGCCATACCGATTAGGTTGAACCCCCCAATAATTATATTCGAAGCATGCTTTAATAATTGAAAGGAACATAGCTTTTGACCACATTTAATTAGTACAAATATTTAAGCAGAAAAGCTAATATATAAAGATCATTTGAAATCTACAAATAGTTTTAATCACAGAGTCAATATAATCAATTATGTGTTTAATTATCTATATAGCACAATTGGGGATCAAATTAGTTGTTTAGCCTGAAATCAGTATTATCTGAATTGGACTAGACTTGCTAATAATTAGTTGCCATACCGATCAGGTTGAACCATAGTTAGCAAGTCAGGAAAGATCAATAATATATCGGTTCACCATAAAATTTGGAATAAATTATTTTTATTTTAAAAAATCGGATAAAAAAATCGAGTAAAAAATACAGATCGGCAAAAATACTTTATGTAAAAATATCGTAAATATATCGGACTAGGCTCAAAAAATCAGAGTGAAAAAAAAGGACATGTTTAAAATAAAATTAAGTAGAAATTAAAATAAAATTAAGTTCAAGTAAAATAATAAGTTGCTGATAAATATACGATGTGAATTGTCTCATTAAATGCTTTAACAAACATCACACATACTTAGTACATAACGCAAAAAAAGAAAAAGGTAATGTGAGATAAGTATAATTGAGTTGGGTATATTCATTTCTCTCTCTGTATGCTGATTGTCCTTTTATAACCATAGTTAAGCGACGGGAAGACGTACATCTTTTTTTATTCGACGAGTAACAAACACAATAGACCAAGAAGAAACATAGAACAAGAAGACGAGCATTATGCAAACACAAAATTTTCATAAAGAAACGCAGAGAGAGAGTGAGAGAGAGAGAGAGAACATGCATAGGCACAGAGAAACAAGATGGACATAAAATCTCAGAGAAGATGAAGAGTACGGTGGATAAAAACCCAAATCCAAAATTTCTAGTCATGAATTAAGTTTGGGGATTGAGCCCTAATCTGGTTTTTTTTTTAAGCTTTTGTTTTAGGGATTTACTAATCCAAGATTTCTAGTCATGAATTTGGTTTGGAGATTGAGCAGTAATATGGTTTTTTTTTTTTTTAAGCTTTTGTTTTAGGAATTTAACATGTTGTACAAATTGTGATTATATGGGTCTTTGAGCCCTAATTTGGATGGAATTTTTGGTGGAATTTTTTCAAGTCAAAATTTGGGGATTTTTTATTCAATGGTTATTATGGTATTTTATTCTAATTTGATTCAATGGATTTGAGCATAAACCCTAAGATAATAAACCCTAACTATCTATTTGGGGATAAAATTTTATTTTTTAGAGAAGTTTTTTTCTTTTTTTTGGGAAATAATGTACTTTTTAGAAAGCATGGAAATAACAATTACATAAAATAGGAAAAAAGTTTTCATCTTTTAGAAGAAAAAAATACAAGTAAAAAAAAGCAAAGTTTTTTTGGACCGATTAAACATTTTTTAAAAAAAAACTTCGTATTTTAAAAAAAGTCGTATTTTAAACGGCAACTTGCTAACTATGGGTTGAACCCCCAATGTGACCTTATTTAATTAGTCCAAATATCTTGA